CTCGAAGAGGAAGCCGGCGACACAGCAACCGACGCAAGGCCCCCCAAGATCCGAACCCAGCAATCACGAGAGAGGCGGAAGGAACGTCAACAAAGGAACCAGAACAGCCGATGAAGCCAAACCCGATTCGGTGGGTAGACCAGCATCGCGAAGTTCAGACTCCTGCACAGACCCTTGAGCAACCTCTGGGTGACCCGGGAGCCCCCAGAAACAGGCACATGTGGGACCGCAGTCACAGGAGAGACTTCGGAGGAAGAGACAAGGAAACAGTCCGAGAATCCCAGACAAGGCCCAGCCATGTCCGAACCTAGGAGGGAACCAGATGGGACTTCCTCCAGTTCACCAAGAACCTAAATCCGGCAAGCTGAGAGAACCAAATCCCTAGTCAGCTGACAAGAGGACCAGCTGGGAGCCCAAACCAGCCTGTCGTCTAGGTAGGCCATCACCCGAACACCTATCAAACGCAGACGGGCCACCACGACCTGTGTAAGGCGCGTGATTACGCGAGGTGCCAGGTTCAACCCGAACGGGAGCCAACGAAAACGATAACCTTGACGCCCCACAACAAAACCGAGGCAGTCCCTGAACCCTGAATGAATCGGGACATGCCAATAAGCATCCCGGAGGTCCAGGGACACCATTCAAGTGCCTGGCTCCAACAGGAGCCGAACCTGGGACAGTGTAGTAATCCGAAAGGAGGGGCAGTGAACCCAGGGGTTCAGACAGGACAAGTCCAGAATGAACCGTAGGTCCGCGCAGTCCTGTTTCGGTACCGAAAACAGACGGGAAACCCATCTGAGAGACGTCGTCATTTCGACCACGCCCAAGCGAACCCACTCCAACATGACCCGACAGAGCGCAGGGAAAGAGGCCGCGCGAAACGACCCGAAACGCCAACGAATCATGGGACCAGGCGTGAGCGAACAGTGCAAGCTTCCCCCCCCCCCCCATCGCCCCGTCAATGGGGCGAACCGCGAAAGGGCTGGCGCCCCTTACGAGACCCAGAACCTCGCACAGAGCGAACACCGCGCCGACCAGACTAAGGCAGGTCCGAAGGAGGAGCCGAACCCGAACCCGACACCAGTGGCCTACCACGATGAGAGGAACCCCGAGCCTTGGCACGACCCTTTCGGGAAGGCCCACCATGGGACCCCCGGAGAACCAGCAAGTTCGACGTAAGACAGCAAGAAGCCGAAGCAGCCTGAATATACTGCACAATGGCCGAAGCCTCAAACAGGAGAGGACAAAAGGGTGATGACATCCTAAAAGCCAAGGCCCAAGCAGATTCCATAGAAAAGGCAAGCACTGAATGCTGACACGCGAGCCAGGAAGCATAAAACAGCGCAACCGCATCCCGTAAGATCGGCACGAAAAGCTCCAGCAAGGCAGCCGTCAAGCGAGCCGATGAGGCCAAGGTGCCAGAACCAGGAACAGCCCCAAGCGCCCTCACATCCTCCATGAGCCAGTCCGAAGACAGCTAGAGGAGGGAAGAAAAACGCAAGGCCGAAGCCAAAAGGCCCCGGGTGCGCAAGTCCTCAGCCACCAGCGCCGCCAAAAGGGAGGGAACCTGCACATGAAGCTGAACAACACCAACATCTCGGGAAAGGGCAGGCACAAACAAGCACTCATTGAGATGCTCTAGGTCGCCCCCAAAGAAAACCTGCAGCACCGTCGAAGCCTCCCGCCACTCAAGCGTGCGGGAACGGCAGAAGGAGTGCTAGGCCTTCTTTCTCCTTCTGGGAAAAGAAAACCCCACTCCTTGTAACAGTAAGCCCCGCTCAGAGGGCAGAAAAACCCAGGCGGGGGTACAACGGGGCCCAAGTCAGCCCCTCCCCAGCCCCAAGGTCCTCCTCCGCAAGACCTGGGGCCGAGTCCTCCCCCAAGCACCGACCCCACCAGACAAGGCCGGCGCAGCCGTAGAAGCTGGACAGAAGGGGGCCCACTGGTCAGACCCAGAGGCTTCGGCCAGGGGAGTAGACTCGAATGCCTTTTCGCCACACCGAAAGGGGCATCCCGAGAGGCTGCCCAGTCTCAAGACCAACTAACCCCCTGCCCCAACTCCGAAACCCTCAGACGTTTCAGAGCCGGAAGTAGGAGAGGGGGACCAGAACGAACAACAGGAGGGGAAAAACAAGGTGCGGACTGAATTAGGGTCGAGGCGACCCCCACCCATAATTCCGGGTACCTATAAGCAAAACAGGGCAGCCGTGGGGCATCCGGATGAGCAACCAACCTAGCGCGTTGCAATAAACGAAACCTAGAATGCAACGCTTGCGCAGCCTGTACCCGAAGATGATCATCCACAGATTGGGTAAATTGAGTCACAAGCAAGCAGCAAAACTCACAGGGTCAAAAGTGTCACAACCCAACAGGCACCACGACGGAGGCAAAAACCGTGAGGGTCGCCCTGAGACAAGGGGACCGAACAACCCTCAAACTCGCATGAAGCGAGGGGAGACTCCGGGGTCGCATCCATCGGACCCACACGTCCCCTAGGGGATTCCCAGGATCCTGAGCGTTTACTGTAAGAGGACTCGTGCACAGGTAAACCCAGGCAGGGTACTGCTAACCGACATCCAAAACTACCAAACAAACAGTCTACTGCTGAACCCCAGGGACATGTATGCTCATGGGGACCTAGCGGGGGGAGGGGTGGGTGGGCACTACCAAGTATCAGGATGAGGCCAAACACCAGTGGCAAGAAGGGCAGAACCCCCTACCAAGGCAAGAACAAAAAGAAAAACAAAACCCCGCAAGAGGACAACGTAACCCAAGGAACACAGCCGGCTGCTGTGATTGGTGATAAGCTGCACAGCACCCTGCACCCCTTACTGGTGCAAAACTGCCTCCTACCCTAAGGTAAACTAGGGAGACAAAACACCCAAGTTCCCAAAGGGCAGCCGAAAAACCAAGCAGTTAAACGGACCCACAGAGGCAGATCCCAAGGAACCTGTGGAAGGTAACCTCAAGCTCCAAGGGCAGTACTTACTGGGCACCTAGAGAAGGGAACCTAGACACATGCAGCCCGAGTACTGAAGAGTAACTCCTGGCTCTCGCACCCCTGGAGAACAGCCGCCACACACAAGGCACAGCTCCATAAAAGTCTGGAGCCAGAGCACACAACCGCTGCCTATAGCATCAGCCTCAAGAACTGGGGTGTGGCTCAACGGCGCGGTAGGTCTGGGGCTCCCCCTTCCCCCTCCTGGAGAGTGGGAGCTGCGCAGACGGCGGCGCGGCAACGGGTGACTTCTCACTAGTTTGCTCATTTTTGTTTGGGGAGTTCTATCCACTTATTCGACTTTAGGTAGCAATATTTTCACCAAAATAGGTGTTTGTTTTGGGATGCTTACCTTTCTGGGCACCTGACCCGGTCGATGGCAGACATAGAATGCTTCCAAGCACACAGGGGCTTCTATAGGCCATTGCTCCCCTTGCCTCTCTGAGGGGGGCCAGGTTCTGACCGTGGTCCCCGGTAGGCCCAAATAACTCAATACACATGACTGATGCCAAAGTCTGACATTAGCATATCAGCCTGGAAAGCTCCGGGAAGCCGTAGGGGCTCCCCCCAGAAAGTGTTGATAGAATTCAGTATTTTAACTTAATGAATAATTAAACCTTGACAAAAAGATATACTGTACACAGTGTAAATACAGAAATAAGTTTCAATTATACAAGTGCATTACAGTTGTTAGTCAACATTTTTTGTTTATTAAAGTGCAGTGCATTACTCACATGTGAATTAGTAGTAGGCGCAGCTGTTATGTGAAGTGAATGCCTGAAGTAAGTGTACATACTGTATACATGCATACTGAATGTATACTGAATAATACAAAATAAGCGCCAGAGAATGACACGATCTTCACAGATTCGTAATCTTCAGATTCATAAAAATATTAAGTCAGTTTATCAATTTTATTACAGTATTAAAACTTTTTTTTTCAACAATAGCTACATATTAGTCTTTGTAAATGTATCTTCTATCTTTAGCAGAGAAAAGGTAAACTTACAAGAGTTCATCTTGGCTAGCTCTGGGTTAGTGATGAGGCTCAGTCTTCATGGCCTGGCCGCCACAGCCTCTTGTAACATACAAGAGTTGATCTTGGCTAGCTCTGGGTTAGTGATGAGGCTCAGTCTTCATGGCCTGGCCGCCACAGCCTCTCTTGTAACATACAAGAGTTGATCTTGGCTAGCTCTGGGTTAGTGATGAGGCTCAGTCTTCATGGCCTGGCCGCCACAGCCTCTTGTAACATACAAGAGTTGATCTTGGCTAGCTCTGGGTTAGTGATGAGGCTCAGTCTTCATGGCCTGGCCGCCACAGCCTCTCTTGTAACATACAAGAGTTGATCTTGGCTAGCTCTGGGTTAGTGATGAGGCTCAGTCTTCATGGCCTGGCCGCCACAGCCTCTCTTGTAACATACAAGAGTTGATCTTGGCTAGCTCTGGGTTAGTGATGAGGCTCAGTCTTCATGGCCTGGCCGCCACAGCCTCTCTTGTAACATACAAGAGTTGATCTTGGCTAGCTCTGGGTTAGTGATGAGGCTCAGTCTTTATGGCCTGGCCGCCACAGCCTCTCTTGTAACATTAAAAATAACAAGCACACATTACCTGTACTGTAGAGAGTAAAACAAAACATCTCTAAAATTTTATTGAGAAAACATTAGCAATCATCAATTGATACACAAAATATTTTGCAATACAAATGAATTATTCAATTTTTTCCCACCCCTCTAGATTTGATCAGAGCGTGTTCACGCATCATCCATGCAGCAGCCACTAGCTGGCTTAATCGTTGGTGCGGCACTAACTTTGAATGCAATTACACAATGACCTTTATTTTATTTGCATTATATAACATACCTTACCGGAATGTTACTCAAAATATTACCGACACTTCATCAACGTCGGATGTAGCGGAGCCCCCGCATTTAACGACCTGGGTACTGCCCCATATAGGTCGTTAAATTGGGTGGAAACTAACTCTGGTATGGAATAACAAGATATTTAAGCAAATATTTTACTCAAATTCAATCATTATTTTTACATCATTAAACATTACAATACATACAATAAGACCGACTATTTGTCAACATCTTGCATACAAAACCTGCTATGTTAATAAGTTGGTGACTATCAATCACGAAGATGTATTTGCCCGGCCAGATATTTTCTGCCTTTCAACTAGCTCTAAAATCTGATCTGTTCCAGTTTTCTCAGTTTTAATAGCGGCAGACAGCTCCTCCTAGAAACAAACAAAAACCAGGTTATTATTCTGGATACTATCTGGTATAATCATTTAATCCACCAAGTGAAAACTATGCCATGTAATAGCCATAAGAATATTATCTTATGGCATTCTTAATAAGGTGGGGAAGGTGGGGGGGGAAGAGAGAGAGATTGAGAGACCAAAATACACTTATTGGCTAGTTTATCTGTCTTTTAAAGCTATACATTGGTAAACATAGGAGGTAATAATATTAAAATTAAGGGGTGTATAAATTGTCAGTGGCTCAAATCTGCAGGGAAAATTGGCATAAAATGTGGGATGCTTTGAAAAATGGAGGGCTTCTTGTTTGCAAGTCTAATTCAATTACAGGTACATGATAAACCATATTTAAATGCCAAAACGTTTACATTCAAAACTGCAGAGTCGTTTATGTTCAGTGCAAATTGTTGGCAAATGCAAAGCTTAACACTTTCGCACAGGGACGACGCAGTATGGCATAAAAAATTTATTAGACTAATGTGTGGAAATGACGCGTCAGTGCGTCAAAAATTACAAAATCTAGACCTGCTTTCAGCTTGGCTGCGGGTGGTGCGCACTGCAGTTTTGGACATTATATGCATATACTCCTGTAGGGAATTCTATTGCGAACACATTAATCACAAAATGAAAGACCTAGGAGGAAAATTGAGGTGACAAAATTGAAAAAGAGTACACTCTTTTCAGTACAGTATTACCGCGCACTCACATGGAATGGCCGGCCCACCTTGGGGTGTCTGGCGCTCGCTCGCCCAAAGTATGAAAGTATTAAGGGCCTGCCTTCTGTCTCTTACACAGGCGACCAAATACTAAAACTAGAAAGTACATAGTGTAAACAAAGATCGGCAGAGCACCTCAAACTACTTCTATAGTTCATCTCCCCAATTATCTTGAAAGAGGGACTGGGGGAGGTGGGAGGAGGGGGAGGGGGCCCTCCAAGTGGGCCAAAACACCAAAATGCAATTAGACGAGATAAATAAAATTGGCAAGAACACTGACCGCAATCCAAGCAAAATATGACAAGCGTCACATTCTGTCGAAAGCCAACGAGACTGGCTGATACACCCATACGTGAATCACATTGAAGACTAAGTTTCGAGAAGCCCTACAGGAAACAAAGCAAACCTTCCTTCCCTTGTAGAGGTCATAGACCATTGGGGAAGCAACAGGAGTAACGATGGAGTGCAGAACCAAGTGGGAGATGTATGCATACCACATTATGCATGTACTGCAGAAGAGGAGTTTCCTGACTGGCAAGCAAAGTCAAAGTCTCAGCTGAGGTCAATGCATCCATGAACCCTGAAAAACCTGAAGAGGAAAATGATAGACGAGAATCCACCCAAGTCAAGCCGGGATCTGCACAACACATTTCCTATAGCATGATGGCAAAAGAATACCCAATGGCAAAAATGGATAAGGATTTTGAGCCAAATGTGATCCAGAGGGTATGCTACACAGGCAATGTTCAGGCTGCCAAAAAGGCATCCGAGGTTCTGCCAAGAAAGAGGAGACTTGTTTATTTGATAATTACCTGATGGCTATTTTGAGAGTTCATTTACTTCCATAGCCTGGCCTATAGTCAACCTTCCCTGGTGATTGCCTCATCTGTGAGGCTGTGTGTCTTCGTAACCTGAAGGAACACAGCCAGGTTGATCCAATAAAATACAGAATAGAACCAGTATCCAATACAGAACGACTACCACAATAGTCGTCGAGGTAAGCCAACAACCGAACACCTAACCGACGCAGACAGGCCATAACGACCCGGATAAGATGTGTGAACACACGAGGTGCCAGGTTCAACCCGAACAAGAGACAACAAAAGCAGTAACTCTGACACCGCACAACAAAACCGAGCCAGCCCTTGAACTTCGGATGAATTGGGATGTGCCAATCCACGTCCTTGAGGTCCAGGGACATCAGCCAAGAGCCTGGCTCCAAAAGAAGCCGGATCTGGGACAGAGTTGTCATCCAAAAGGAACCGAATGTCTGCACAATCCCGTTTCGGAACTGGAAACAGGCAGGAAACCCACCCGAGGGATGTCGTCGTTTCGACCACGCCCAAACGCACCCCCACCCAAGATGACCTGACAGAGTGCAGGAGAAGAAGCCTGCCCCACCATCACCGAACCCGCCGGAGGAGGAGGAGCCACCAAAGGCCGCGAGAAACGACCCATAAAGCCCACGAATTGTGGGACGAGGCATGAGCGAACAGAGCAAGCCTGTCCCCCCCGTCAATGGGGCGAACCGCAAAAGGGGCTGTTGCCCCTTACGAGAACCCGATCTACACACAGAGCGACCACCGCGCTGACCTGACGCAGCCGGGACCAAAGGCTGCATCGGCTCCGCGACTTGTCGACGGGCGGAACCGCGGGCCCTGGCACGACCTCTCCGGGAGGAACCCACCCTGGCCCCCCGGAGAACCAAAAGGTCAGACATCAGGCGGTAGCTAGAAGAAGCCGCCTGCGTATACTGTTCGACCACAAAAGCAGCAAACAGCAAAGGACAAAAGGGCGAAGACAATCTAAGAACCAGGGCGCCGCAGATTCCAAGGAGGAAGTGAGAACCACCTGCCAACACGTGAGGCACGCAGCGAAAAACTGTAACAGCACATCCCGCAGGATCGGTGCAAACGGCTTCAAAAGGGAAGACGACACACGAGCAGCAAAGGCCAAGGCGCTAAACCCAGGAACAGCCCCAAGCACCTTTACATCCTCCGTAAGCCAATCTGAAGACAGCTCAAGGAGAGAAAAGAGGCGCAGGACTGGAGCCAACGAACTCCATGCGCGCAAGTCCTCGGCCACCAGCGCTGCCGACAAGGAGAGAACCTGCACATGAAGCTGAACCGCACCAACATACCACAGAAGAGCTGGAGCGAAAAGGCACTCATTAAGGTGCGCAAAGTCGCCCTAACAGGTAAACCTGGACCACAGTCAACGCCTCGCGCCACTCCAGCATGCAGGTACAACAGAAGGTGTCCTAAGCATCCAGTGAAAACAAAGGGCAGTCCGCTAGTAAGGACAACTCCGGAACCTCATAACAAACCCCGTATGGAGACGAAGACCCAAACCTGAAGGAAGACGGATTCGTTATAGAGGCATAATCCAGGACGCACAGGAAGTAAGCCGCAATTGCCGCCCGCACCTCAGGCGGAGAGATGCGGAAAGCCGAAAACCTCCGGAAGGACGGAACCGAAGGACCCGCAGGGACACTGAACCGAACTCAAATCAAAGTCGTACGATGAGGTGGGGGGGGGGGGGGGAGAAATCAAACTCTTTGTAACAGCAAGCCCCGCTCGGAGGGTCAGAAAACCCAGGCAGGGTCCAACGGGGCCCAAGGCCTTCAAGTCAGCTCCTCCCCAACCACTGGAACCTCCACGTCAGGCCCACGGGGCCGAGTTGTCCTCCAAAGCCCCGGCCTTACAAGAAAATGCCGGAGAAGTCGGAATAGCAAGAAGAGGATAGGCTCACTGGCGAGACCCCGGAGCTACGGCAGGAGGTATCGACTCGAATGCCTCCGGAGCCACCTCGGAAAGGGGCAACCCCCAAAACCTCCCGAGTCTCACACACCTCTAAACCCTGCCCTTACCCCGAAACCCTCAGATGCTTAGGAGCCGGAAGCAGGGAAGGGGAAACCGAATGAACAACAGCAGAAGAATTAGGGGGCGCGGATGGAACCAAGGCCATAGCGACCAACAACCCCAAGTCCGGGTCCCTATAAACAAAAAGGGGCAGCCTCGGGGCATCCGGGGAAGCAACCTAAACCTATCCTGCAACACGCGAGCTGCATGCACCCGAATAATGTCATCATCACATTGGGTGAACCGAATCACAAACAAGCAACAAAGCTCGCAGGACTCTGGGTTGAACGTGTCACCGACCCAACAGGCAGCATGACAGAGGCAAAAACAATGAGCGCCACCCTGAGACAAGGGGACAGAGCAACCCTCAAACTCGCAAAAAGCGAGAGGAGACCCAGGGGTCACATCCATTGGACCCGAGCGCCCCGCGGGGTTTTCCAGGGCCCCTAGGCTGAGTCTCCTAAGGGTTATCCCAGGCAGGGTACTGCTAACCGGCACCCACGTTACCAACCAACACTGCTAAAGCTGATCCATTGGGATGTGTTCACTCACGAGGAAGAAGCAGGGGGCACTACCAAACACAAACAACCCTAATATAAAAGGGAAGGGACACCAAGGCAGAACCCCCAACCCCCACCATGCAAAAACAAAAAGAAAAGAAAACCTTGCAAGAGGACAGCGTACCCAGAGGGAACAGAGCCGGCCGCTGTTATAGGTGAATACTAGCTGTGCAGTATCCCGCACCCCTGCCAGTGCAAAAACTACCACTTACCCCAAGGCAAACAAGGGAGGAATCCCCCAAACACTCGGGGCGGTCAATTGCCAAGCAGCGAAAGACCAACAGAGATAGACCCAAGGTGACTTGTGGAAGGTAACCCCAAGCCCCTAGGGCAGTACTTACAGGGAACTTGGCGAAGTTAGCCCTAAGCACACGCAGTCCGAGTACCCTGGAATATGTCTCAAAGCTCGCACGCTACCTTAGAGAAGTACTGAACCCAGGCAAAGCACAAAGAATCTAGAGCCACAATGACTTAGCCTTATCCCAACAGCCGAGGAACTAAAGGTGTGGACTGCCGGCATGAGAGTCCCCCTTCCCCCTCCCGGGGAGAGGGGAGCTGCGCAAACATGCGACGTCATACTTGTTTGCTCTTTTTCCCTTGGGGAAGTACTGTCCATTTGTTTCAATATTTTCATTGGTTTTACCAGAATAGGGGTTTGTTTTGAGGCGCTTACCTTTCTGGGTGGCTGTTCCGGTCGATGGCATATAGAATGCCAAAATTACACGTGCATTTCTATGGGCCATTGCTCCTCGTGCCTCTCTGAGGGGGCCAGGTTCTGGCCGTGGGCCCCGGTAGGCCTTGAACTCCACCCACATCGACTGATGCCAAAATTAAGGACTATCCCTATCAGCCTGAATAGCTCTGGGGAGCCGTAGGGGCTTTCCCCAGAAAAACACATTGATTTCATTGTCAACAGAAAGGAGATGATTCCTGTCTTTGATCTTTATGTAGGTTAGAGAAGAAAAATTAAACACAAAAATGACTCAGAAAATACATTTACATGTGTTTAGAATTAGCCTATTTATTACTATCTCTTGTGGAACCCGAGTTACCTTAGGAGGTCCACGGACCCCAGGATAAGAACCCCTGCTCTAGATGGATGGAGACAAACCAATAAAAATCCTGGATCCAGGGGAAACAAGCCAATAGCCAAGACAACCTGGCAAACCTGGAATTCCAGAATGTTCCAGGTTCACAAGAATGTAGGACAAAGCACGAACCCATTGAGAAAGGAGAGGATCTAGAGAAAAACCATATTGAAATAAGGAAAGGCAAGTTGGCTGTAATAAGGAATGGGTCACAGCAAGCACATTCTTGCAATGTTGTCACGAATGATGTAGAGGAGTGGACAGTTTGGTAGGTCCAAGACAAGGAGGAGGAGGAAAGGACCATGCACACCAAAGACCCTGAGACAACACACAAAATGCCTAGGCATCCTGAGATCAGGCATTATTGAGCTCTGTAATATAAGAAAATTTGAAAAATACCTGAAAAATAGGGAAAAATCCTCTAATCAAGCGTCTAGGCATAAGAGCTACCAGTAATACCTGACCAAGGAAGGAAAGGCCACCAGGAGTCGAAGGGCACACTTAGGCCCCTTCCCAGCAACTCGGTAACCCCTAGATTTTTACCATTACAGAAGTGGAGGGATATTCACAAAATTTCCCTTTCCCCTTCACATAATTAATGATTTTATTAGTTCATCAAGGTCTTTATTTTGTATAATTACTTTGCTCAATAGTAGCAATGGTTTTGTATATATTATCATTGGAAATAGCCACCATAATCTTTAAATACATAAACACACACACACACCCTAGGGTCAACACTTGCAGCAGAGGAGCTCCAGCATATTTCAACAATCCTAAGTATTGTAGTACAGGTTGATGGTAGTGAGTGGTGTCCCAGAGAACATAAAGGTATAGTGCTCTTGAAAAATAGGTGAGATAACAGGAAAGTGCTAAGGGAAGTGAAAAATCGGATGAGAAAAAGTTGCCCTAGTGTTTACAGTGCAGAGAAGAACATTCAAGATGGCCACTGGCAAGGGGAAAAACAAAACAGAGCTTGATTTTGAGGGATTCAATGAAGAAAGCATTGATATTAGTAGTCTACATAACAAGTTGGTAAATTTAGATACTATAGTGAACTCTCATGTAGAAATAATTAGTAAATTGAAAGAAAGTAATGACCATTTGAATAGCAAAGTATTATGTCTTGAGGGTTTAGTGAAAGACTTGCGCAAGGATAAGAATCAATTGGAAACAAATTGCAAAGCCATGGAAGAAGAAAATAAACTCTTAAAAATAGCTTTGGAAGAAGTTAAAGTAAATTTAAACATAAATGACTACAATAGGTTAGGCAAGGAAATTCAACAGGAGAAACAGCTTTTGTCAGCACAGATGGAGGAAGTTACACAGGGAATAGAACAGTGCAAGAAAGATATGCAACTCACTTATGCACAAGTGGCCAAGGAGAAAGAAAAAATAGAAGAAGCAGTAAAGGAAGTCAAACACTGCAGCAACCAAGATAAAACAAACATTAGGCTAGAAGTGAGGAAAGAATTGGCATCTAACCCGAAGTTGGTGCAAAACACAGTTGATCGGAGTAAGTCCCTGATCATTTTTGGCTGCAAAGAAAAGGCGATAACATCTAGGTCAGAAAGAGCTGTAGAAGAAGCTAAAGTAGTAGATAAAATTGTTGGCCTCGTGGAAGGTCTTACAAACAGAGAGAATGTGTGCGACTACAGGAGAATAGGCAGGTACATAAAAGGGAAAGATCGACCTTTGAGGATCACCCTAAACGGTGCCAAACAGATGGAAGAAGTACTAAGGAATGCTAGAAAATTGCAAAGGGATGAGGATGGGAAAGGGTGGTCATTAAGACGAGATCTTTCAAAAGAAGATAGAGAGAAGCTGAAACTGAACCTCGCCGAGGCAAAACATTTAAATGAGAGCAGGAATGAAGAAGAAATAAATTCTTTTTTCTACAAAGTGATAGGGGTAGGCAAACCAGTAAAGTGGTACATAAAGGCAAACCAACAAAATCAATAGAGAGAGGGGGAGTGAAGAATAAGGAGAGGGGGAACAAGTTCCTGAAGATTGCATACACCAACATAGATGGAGTGAGATCGAAGATACTGGAGTTAAGTGATGTAATACAGCTGCAGACACCAGACATTGTTGCACTCACGGAGACAAAACTTGAAGATGTAATTTTAAATGAGGTCATATTCCCGAGGGGCTACTCAATTTGGAGACGGGACAGAAAAATTAGGAAAGGCGGTGGCGTTGCTGTGCTGGTAAAAGAACACCTAAAGGTGAAGGAAATAATGACTGCCAATCCACAAGAAGTTGACATAATAGCACTAGAGATCTGCTATGAGGATGATAAACTAATGATGATAAATGCATATAGTCCACCGCCAAGCAGCACATGGTCAAAGGAGGAGCTAGATAGTAAACGTGAAGGTCTTATAACAATAATGAGAGAGATTATAGCGAGAGCGGATAACGATAGATCACGACTGTCGATAGTCGGTGACTTCAACTTGAAATCCATAGACTGGGAAGCATATGAAGCTAAAACAGAAGATTTTTGGACCTGTAAATTTGTAGACCTCATCCTGGAAACATTCTTGTATCAACATGTTAAACAAGCTACGAGGATGAGGGAAGGGGACGTTCCCTCCATGCTAGATTTGATATTTACCAGGAAGGAGGAAGAGATATTTGACATTCAGTACCTTCCTCCCTTGGGTAAAAGTGACCATGTCTTTTTGGGAATAAAGTATGCAATGCGTTATAAGCTGGAAGAAAGGAAATAGATTCACGGAAGATGAAAAGGAAATGTGTGAAACACTAAACGAAAAGTTCCAAAGTGTGTTTGTACAAAATGAAATCTTTAGGGAACCAGATACAATAAGAATTCCAGAGAACAACATAGAACACATAGAGGTGTCTAGAGACGAAGTGGAAAAAATGCTCAAGGAGCTCGGTAAGAACAAAGCAGCTGGCCCAGATGGCGTTTCACCATGGGTTCTGAGAGAATGTGCATCTGAGCTCAGCATTCCACTTCACCTGATCTTTCAGGCATCCCTGTGTACAGGAATCGTAGCAGACGGGTGGAAACAGGCTAACATAGTTCCAATCTACAAAAGTGGCAGCAGGGAAGACCCCCTCAATTATAGACCTGTATCATTGACAAGTGTAATAGTGAAAGTATTGGAAAAACTAATCAAAACTAAATGGGTAGAACACCTAGAGAGAAATGATATAATATCAGACAGACAGTATGGTTTTCGATCTGGAAGATCCTGTGTATCGAATTTACTCAGTTTCTATGATCGAGCCACAGAGATATTACAGGAAAGAGATGGTTGGGTTGACTGCATCTATCTGGACCTAAAAAAGGCTTTCGACAGAGTTCCACATAAGAGGTTGTTCTGGAAACTGGAAAATATTGGAGGGGTGACAGGTAAGCTTCTATCATGGATGAAAAATTTTCTGACTGATAGAAAAATGAGGGCAGTAATCAGAGGCAATGTATCGGAATGGAGAAATGTCACAAGTGGAGTACCACAGGGTTCAGTTCTTGCACCAGTGATGTTTATTGTGTACATAAATGATCTACCAGTTGGTATACAAAATTATATGAACATGTTTGCTGATGATGCTAAGATAATAGGAAGGATAAGAAATTTAGATGACTGTCATGCCCTTCAAGAAGACCTGGACAAAATAAGTATATGGAGCACCACTTGGCAAATGGAATTTAATGTTAATAAATGTCATGTTATGGAATGTGGAATAGGAGAACATAGACCCCACACAACCTATATATTATGTGAGAAATCTTTAAAGAATTCTGATAAAGAAAGAGATCTAGGAGTGGTTCTAGATAGAAAACTATCACCTGAGGACCACATAAAGAATATTGTGCAAGGAGCCTATGCTATGCTTTCTAACTTCAGAATTGCATTTAAATACATGGATGGCGATATACTAAAGAAATTGTTCATGACTTTTGTTAGGCCAAAGCTAGAATATGCAGCTGTTGTGTGGTGCCCATATCTTAAGAAGCACATTAACAAACTGGAAAAGGTGCAAAGACATGCTACTAAGTGGCTCCCAGAACTGAAGGGCAAGAGCTACGAGGAGAGGTTAGAAGCATTAAATATGCCAAAACTAGAAGACAGAAGAAAAAGAGGTGATATGATCACTACATACAAAATAGTAACAGGAATTGATAAAATCGACAGGGAAGACTTCCTGAGACCTGGAATTTCAAGAACAAGAGGTCATAGATTTAAACTAGCTAAACACAGATGCCGAAGAAATATAAGAAAATTCACCTTCGCAAATAGAGTGGTAGACGGTTGGAACAAGTTAAGTGAGAAGGTGGTGGAGGCCAAGACCGTCAGTAGTTTCAAAGCGTTATATGACAAAGAGTGCTGGGAAGACGGGACACCACGAGCGTAGCTCTCATCCTGTAACTACACTTGGGTAATTACACTTAGGTAATTACACACACACACACAATACTAACTTACATTTGGATATTCTGCAATGTTGATAATTGGATCCCGATGAATCCATGGTGTCCAAGCGCCTTGAATTGAAGGATGATCTGTATGCTGGTACTTTCGCAGGAGCTCCACTGGATACCCTGACCGTGTTCTTAAATACTCTACCCACTTTTTTATTTCTTCATATGTTTGCTTGTGTGTAGATATGTATTCCTCGCCTCCATTCACTGAAAAATATTCAAGACATTAAAAACCAACGTTGAAGGTAATGAAATGCCATTTTCTGGGTGAGCCCTAGAGGCTTCCTGAAGCTACTGGGCTAATGTTTGATATATTAGACTGAGGCATTACCCCTTAGACTGCACAATACCTGTACATACATATATGATTTGACAAAATAGTTTAACACAAATTTCTGGGGGGAGCCCCGTCGGCTTCCCGGAGCTATACCAGGCTGATATGTTAATGTCACACTTTGGCATCAGTCATGTGTATGGAGTTCTAGGGCCTACCAGGGACCACGAGCCAGAATCTGGCTCCCTCAGAGAGGCAAAGGGAGCAATGGCCTATAGACACCAACGTGTGGTTGGAAGCATTCTATGTCTGCCATTGACCAGGTCAAGCATCCAGAAAGGTAAGCATTCCAAAACAAACCCCTATTCTGGTTAAAATTGCTACCAAAAGCCGAACTAGTGGATAGAACTCCCCAACAGAAAACAGGCAAACTAGTATGACGTCACACGTCACCGCGCTGCTGTCTGTGCAGCTCCCCCCTCCCCAGGAGGGGGAAGGGGAGCCCCAGACCTCTCACACAGGCTATCCACCCATCAATTCTTCGGCTGATGCTATAGACACCGGTTGTGTGCTCCGGCTCCAGTCGTTTCAGCACTGTACCTAGAGTGTGGTGTCTGTCTTCTAGGTGGTGCGTGAGCCGGGAGCGAGTCTCCAATACTCGGGCTGCATGCGCCTAGGGTTCCCTTCCCTAGGTGCCCTATAAGCACTGCCCTTGGGACTTGGGGCCACCTTCCACAAGTTCCTTGGGTTCTGCCCCTGCTAGGCCGTTTACTGCTTGGTTTTCGGCCGCCCTTTGTGTGCTCGGTTGTTTTGTCTCCCTTGTTCGCCTTAGGGTAAGGGGTAGTTTTGCACTGGTGGGGCACAGGGTGCTGCACAGCTTGTTTTCACCTTTATGGCGGCCGGCTCTGTTCCACCAGGATACGCTGTCTTCTTGCGGGGTTTTCTTTTTCTTTTTGTTTATCTACCTGGTGGGGGTCTGTCTTCATTCTTGCCCCTCTGTGTCCCTTGTGTTCCGAGTATTATTCTGGTGGTTCCCCCTGCTAGGTCCCCGTGAGTGTACACGTCCCGGGGGTTCAGTTCTTAGAAAGTTGTTTGGTAGCTTTGGGCGCCGGTTAGCAGTACCCTGCCTGGGATTACCCGAGCGCGAGTCCTATTATAGTAAACACTCGGGACCCTGGGAAACCCCATTGGGCGTGTGGGTCCGATGGATGTGACCCCGGAGTCCCCCCTCGCTTCCAGCGAGTTTGAGGGTTGCTTTCACCCCTTGTCTCAGGGTGACTCTGTTTTGCCTCCGTCTGCTGCCTGTGGGGTCGGTGACACCTTCGACCCGGAGTCCTACGAGTTTTGTTGCTCGTTATGGCTCAGTTACCCAGTTGTTTTGCTGATTAAGCGGGTGCAAGCAGCAGAGGCGTTGCACGTTGAGCTTTGATGGTGGCAACGCTCTCGTTTGTTTGCTCCCGGGAGCCCTGGGGCTGCCCCGTTTTGGTTCGTGTTGGGACTTAAGAGGTGTTGGTTGCTGGTTGATACCTGGTTGATGGGGTTCTGGGAGTTCTTCTACTCCCCAAGCCCGGCCCGAGGCCAGGCTCGACTTGTGAGAGTTTGGTCCACCAGGCTGTTGCTTGGAGCGGCCCGCAGGGCCACGTACCCACCACAGCCTGGCTGATCCGGAACTTCTCTTAGAAAACCGTCCAGTTTTCTCTCTTGATGTCCACGGTTGTTCCGGCAATATTTCTTATAGTCGCTGGGAGGACGTTGAACAACCGCGGACCCCTGATGTTTATACAGTGCTCTCTGATTGTGCCTATGGCACCTCTGCTCTTCACTGGTTCAATCTTGCATTTTCTTCCATATCGTTCACTCCAGTACGTTGTTATTTTACTGTGTAGATTTGGGACCTGACCCTCCAGTATTTTCCATGTGTATATTATTTGGTATCTCTCTTGTCTCCTTTCTAGAGAGTACATTTGGAGAGCTTTAAGACGATCCCAATAATTTAGGTGTTTTATCTCGTTTATGCGTGCCGTATATGTTCTCTGTATTCCCTCTATTTCAGCAATCTCTCCTGCTCTGAAGGGGGAAGTGAGTACTGAGCAGTACTCGAGACGGGATAACACAAGTGACTTGAAGAGTACACCCATTGTGATGGGTTCCCTGGATTTGAAAGTTCTCGTAATCCATCCGATCATTTTTCTTGCTGACGCGATATTTGCTTGGTTATGCTCCCTAAACGTTAGATCGTCGGACATCATTATTCCCAAATCCTCGACATGCTGTTTTTCTACTATGGGAAGATTCGATTGTGTTTTGTACCCTGTATTATGTTTCAGATCCTCATTTTTGCCGTACCTGAGTACCTGAAATTTATCACTGTTAAACATCATGTTATTTTCTGCTGCCCAATCAAAAACTTTGTTGACATCTGCTTGTAGTTTTTCAATGTCTTCAGCAGAGGTAATTTTCATGCTGATTTTTGTGTCATCTGCAAAGGACGACACGAAGCTGTGGCGTGTATTTTTGTCTATATCAGATATGAGAATAAGGAACAGTAGCGGTGCAAGGACCGTACCTTGAGGTACAGAGCTTTTAACATCGCTTGGACTCGATTTTATCTGATTGACTGTTACTCTTTGTGTTCTGTTCGACAGGAAATTGAGTATCCATGGTCCTACTTTTCCAGTTATTCCCATTGACCTCATTTTGTGAGCTATCACCCCATGGTCACATTTGTCGAACGCCTTTGCAAAGTCTGTGTATACAACATCTGCATTTTGCTTTTCTTCTAGGGCTTCTGTGATTTTGTCATAGTGGTTGAGTAACTGTGACAGACAGGATCTTCCCGCTCTAAATCCATGTTGTCCTGGATTGTGCAATTCATTGTTTTCCATAAAACTAGAAATTTGATTCCTAATCACTCTTTCAAACACTTTTATTATGTGTGATGTTAGTGCAACTAGCCTATAATTTTTTGCCAAGGCTTTACTCCCCCCCTTGTGCAACGGAGCTATATCTGCAGATTTAAGTGCTGCTGGTATCTCCCCTGTATCCAGGCTCTTTCTCCATATTACGATGAGTGCTCTCACTACTGGTACTTTACATTTCTTTATGAATATTGAATTCCATGAGTCAGGCCCAGGAGCTGAGTGCATAGGCATACTGTCAATTTCTCTTTCAAAGTCTTCCGAGTTTGTGGTAATATCCGTTATATTATCTGCTGCTTGAATGTCATTCATAAAGAAGCTGTCTGGGTCATCAACTTTCATGTTGTTTATTGGTGTGCTAAACATAGCCTCATACTGGCTTCTTAGAATTTCACTAATCTCTTTGTTGTCCTCTGTGTACGTACCTTCATTTGTAATTAACGGTCCAATACTGGTCGAGGTTTTGGATTTCGATTTTGCGTATGTGAAAAAACTATTTCGGATTTTTCCTTATCTCTTGTATAGCTTTCTGTTCCAATTCCATTTCCTCAGACTCATGTGATCGCTTCAACGTTTGTTCTATTTCCTCAATCTCCCTGCTTAGGCTTTTTTTCCTTGCTTGTGATAGTTGTGTCTGCCGAAGCATTTCCGTTATTTTTTTCCTTCTCCTGTACAGTCGTCTGCGTTCTCTTTCTAGAGTGGTCCTCTTTCTGCCCCTCCTCACAGGTACGTGCTTCAAGCAGACCTTGTAAGCTTCAGCTGTCAGTTGAGCTATTCCCTGTGTGGGAGTTTTGTCGCTTAAGACCGTCTCCCATTGAATGGTTGCAAGGTCTACATTTATTTTTTCCCAGTCAATCCTCTTATTGTTGAAATTGAATTGATTGAATATTCCTTCTCGCTTGTTGGGTCTCTAAGACCTACTACCGTTATTTATGCTAGTTCGCACTTCAATGAGCTTATGGTCCGAGTATGAAGTATCCGAGATTGTGATATCCCTGATTAGTTCATCATTGTTTGTGAATAACAAGTCTAGTGTGTTTTCGTTCCTAGTTGGTTCTGTAATCTGTTGATTGAGCGAGAATTTGTCACAGAATCTCAAAAGTTCTCTGACCTGTGGTTGGTTATTTCCCGGGTCATTCCCTGCTATGATATTTGTGTTTGCCGTTCTCCATCTTAGACTCGGTAAATTGAAATCTCCAAGGAAGATAATATCTGGAGCTGGGTTTGCTAGGTTGTCAAGTATGTTCTCTATTTTGTGCATCTGCTCTGTGAATTCCTCAATCGTTGTATCTGGCGGTTTATATATTAGAATAATAATTAGTTTTAGTTTCTCTACCTTCATTCCAAGTACCTCTACCACCACATTAGTTGAGTTTAGTAGTTCTGTGCATACCAGGTCCTCTTTAATATACAGACCTACTCCTCCATTTGACCTAGTTTTTCTATCACATCTATATAGATTATAATTTGGAATCCAGATTTCACCATCCATGTAATCTTTTGTATGAGTTTCCGTGAATGCCCCAAATATTGAGTTTAACTCTAATAGGAGGCCATTTATGAACTTAACTTTATTTCTTGACTTTGGCTTTGGTTCCTTCCATGCCCCCTTGTATTTTCCCTGGATCCCCCCTTCCTACCTCCATCCAGTTCCTTACCGTCTACGAGTTCGGGGTCGGGGTGGGGTTCGATGGTTTTGAGACTCGGGCAGTCTCGGGGAATTCCCCTTCTGGGGTAGTGACGGGGCATTCGAGCCTGTTCCTCCAGCTGTGTTGCAAGAGTCTGCCAGTGGTCTCCCTTAGTATTTTCGCGGCTGCCCCGGTTTTCTGGTACGGCCAGGGCTTTGTGGGGACAGCTCGGCCCCGAGGCCTGTCGTGTGGGTTCCCAGGGCTGGGGAGGGGCCGACTTGGGGAGGCCTAAGGCCTCGTAGGACCCCGCGAGTTATTTTTTCTACCCCTCTAAGCAGGGCTTGCGTTTACACGGAGTGGGTTTTTTTCCTTCCCTCTCACCATACG